TTAGAAAGTAACACCTCTTCCAGTTGTCCTAACGATATGGCAAAAAAAAGAAATTGGGATAGATTTCTAGAAAGACCTCAGGATTTCATGAAAGGGAGGAGGCGGCAGAGGGCCAACCTGTGGTCCACGGAGGTGGCAGAGCCCCCTGAGCTGGGCTTGAAATAATCGCCCACCCTGATGGCGGGTGGGATTTCTGTAGCACAGCAGGTGCACCCTAATTCCTGCAACTGACTTCTCCCAAAGGGTGCTCTTCGGGGATGGAGGCTGAGATTGTGTTCAATTTCTCCCCAGCTCCAAGCGGACTGCAGAACAGGGCACTTTGGGCAGGAAACCTGGGCTGCTGGCTGGCTGCAGGAAACGGACTTGGGCGTCACGTTCCCAGGGCATCAGAGGCCCAAAAATCAAAGCCAGCAAAGAAGCCATTGGCCTTCGAGGGAGGAGTCCAGGCAATGGAATGAGTTCCCGTAGGACTCGCTCCTGGGCCCGCGGAAGGCCTGGCCATCATGTCAGGGCCCTGTGAGCCGCATGAAGACAGCTGTGAGTTACAGGAAGCTCAGACTCCAACCCGGGCAAGGCAGGCACCTCCGCCTGGAATATGTGCCTGCTGTAGAGAAGTTAAACGAAAGAGCCCTACATCTTTCGTCACACCATTTGCACATTCAAACGTCAGTAAGCCTTTCGGGAAGACTGTGTTTACAGCCACGCTAAAATCCCGACCACGTTTTCCCTGAACTATCAGATTCCACATTCAAAGAGAAAAGGATCTAGTGACGGCCCCTCCTTGGGCCAGGCAGCGGCGTGCTCACTCCCGGTGGTACGGGGACAACTTTGCGACGGCTACTGGGCACTGCCTGAAGAACTGCCCTGAGCTCCCCCCAGACTCTGCACAGCTCCTGGGTTAACGGCGGCCACAGGGGCTGTTAATGCCTGCTGAAAATACAACGGCCTCGCCGATGGGTGTGCATCCCAAGAGTAACTTGCTTCCCACACGTTTTGGGGTGGGAACTGGTCAACTCCTTTCTGTGAAGGCCAGTCTGGGATCTTTCTAAATCTCAGGCATGTGTGGAGGAGAGCAAGCCATTACCGAGAAAAATCACGGTAACTGTGAGACCGCGACGGAGGTCCAGGCAGGGCTTGGTGACAGAGGGCCCTACAGGGTCAGGCAGGAAAACAGAAGCAGCCGCGACGGGCCCCGTGAAGAGAGTGGTTAGGGATTGGGGGCTGTCCTTCCACTCACTGCACATCTTACCCGGGGTGTCCCCGTCAGGAGGGCACTGCCTTCCTGTGGTCCCAAGCGAATGGGACAGCTAGAGATACACCTCCCATCAGCTTTACCAGCACCACGAGGGAGAGGAAGGATGCTCTCCAGATGGGTAGGAGCAGGAAGGTACAGCACAGGCAGGTGTGGCTGGTGTTTGCGCCATTCTGGCATATGCCAAACCCTGAAGGCCCTCCACAGAAACTCTTCAGTGCAAAGAAAGGAGACTAGAAGGCCATCGGGTGGTTCTGGAGTCCCAGTCCGTCAGAGACCGGCAAGCCAGTCTTTCAGGAATGGTTTCTGGCTTGCATGCATTGGTCCTACACTCAGAAGCTGTTACCTTCCAACCCATACAGTCACTGGCCCTGGGGTGCGTGGAGAAAACGAACATCAGCCAAGCAGTTTCTCTCCCCAGCCTCTCCGTCCTCACCAGGCTCCTTACACTCAGATGCACCAATGCCACGGGCGTCCCACAGCAGTGGCCGGGTGCACAAGACCACCCGTGACATTTGGCTTTTTTAACACAGATGGGTCAATTCGAACTGAGCAGATGACAACTTCCCCTGTGCACACCAGAGCTTCCCGGGAGGCAGCTCCACTCAGTCTGAGGGGACAGGATAGGTGCTCAGTGCCGGCCTTCCATACCTGCAGCCCACACACTCTCGAGACAGACAGTCGACCACAGACTCCCCCAGAAAAGCATCTTCCCTTTTGTTCACGGTATGGATGACGGCTGACGGGAGAGAAAGGACAGGGGTGACTGAGAACAGTGCTCCCTCTCAGCCTCCTCCTCCTAAGAGGCCCCCAAGTCGGACGCCACACCCGGAGCCAGTGTGTTTGGCCAAGTCTAGAAAGCCAACCAGACCACGTGCACAGTCCATTCCAGGCCGAACCCACCGCCTCAGCTTTCTTTGGACCCAGGTGACAGACACTTGAGGGGAAGAGGTTCGCTGGAGCCTAAATGAACACGGCACCTGCCAGGCCTGGAGGGAGAGGACCAGGACCGCTCCGAGCGCCGGGAAGTCTCCACTCTGGCCTGCCAGTGCCCTCGGAGTCCGCGGCGGTACCAGCAGCTCTGACCGCGGAGTGGTGACCACTGGGCTTTCGCAAAGAGAATCCTGATCGGGTTTCCTTTTTCTTCTTCTTCTTTTTAAAAAAAGGCAGTTCAGAAGATTTACATCATAATGGGGAAGTGAATAAATACCAGCACTTATGGTTCTTATAAATTTATGTTTCGAAGACAGCATAGCACTCAGGAGGAATTTGACTGTTAAGGTCGGTGAAACCTAGAAAACAAATAATTAAGTCAAGACCAAGGGGCTGCTAGAGATGCCTGATGCCACAGCCCGAGCTTCCCATCCTCAGACTCCCCGTGGCTGACGAGTGGCAGGTTAAATCTGGTTAAACCTCCGGCCAAAAGCACATCCCTAACAGAACTCCTCAAGTACTCGAGCCCCCACGGAATTCACCTTATGTTTGGGAGTAGTTTCATCTGGAGCTCCTGGGGGCCCAAACCGGACGGCCCTGGTGGCCCTCGGCCCACGCTCTCAGCCTGGACTCGGCAGCAAGGCTGAGCCCAGGCGCCAGTCGGCACGTCCTGTTTCTCCAAGTGTTTGCCACAGGGGTCCTAAGAATTAAGTCAATGGCTCTGCCACTAGCTAGCCACGTGACCTTATATCAGCCCCTTAAACCTCTCTCTGCCTAAGTTTCCCCAAAGGAAGATATGGGCACACGGAATCACAGGAGCAAACCCACTCTGGAAGTCCCATGTGGATTTGGTATTTTGCCCAGGCTTGGCTTGGGCTGACTGGATATCAATGTCAACGGGCTTTTCTTCTCAGCTTAGGTTTCCATAAAAACCCACTCTGGGGTTATGGGTGGTCTGGCACTTAACAGATCTTTAAGTGAAAAACCAGGCCTTCAGAAGGTCGCGGTGCTCCTTCTCCGCGATTCGGAAACCACAGCGGACCTTCTCTTATCCCCCACCCCTCCCCACCACACCACCTGTAATCCGGCAGCAGATGGCAGTTAGTCGGGAAGCAGGTATGACCATCTGAAGGAAAAAAAAGGGAAAAGAACCCCTCAATTTACTAACCTTGTTAAATGTCTACTCAATTCATGAACTTCCATTTCAGTGCTTTTAAATTCATTGAGCTCCTTTCGAATGGCAGCCTGGAATGAAGAGAGGTCCGTGAATATGCAGAAGAGACAGATGGAAGGGAGTTCGCTTATTACCGGTTTTGTTTGACAAAGCCGAACGACCCAGTGTAAGTACGGAAAATGAATTCCTTCACTGGGAGGGGAAAGAAAATCACCTGGAACCGACAGAGAATCCCCCCGCCCCCTAAATGTAAATCGCAAATGATATCTGGCCTACTGCCCAAAGTGTCTTTTTCTTCCTCTCTCCGAGGAGCGCCTCCGGGGCAGCAAGAGGCCGTGCAGATCTGCCCCACACTCCTGGGGTCTTGAGTGCACTTTTAAAGTTGTGGTGTTTTTTCAATGTTTTCTTTTTGAGACAGTGTGAGCAGGGGAGGGGAACAGAGAGAGGGGGACAGAGGATCCGAAGCTGGCTCCGCACCGATAGCATCAAGTCTGATGCGGGGCTCCACCCCGCGAACCGTGAGACCATGACCTGAGACAAAGAAGCTCAACCGACAGAGCCACCTGATGCCCCGAGTGCACGTTTAAATGTCAACCCCTCATCTTCCGTAGGCAAACAATCTAAGCTCAGCACAAGCACTGTGCTGCCTCAGGATGGGTCCTTCTAGAAGGGGTGGGTCAAATTCCTCAAATTAAGGGAATGGGTGATTGCCAGCTGCCTCCTTTTCGTTTGATTTACAAAGACCTCGCTCTTTCACAGCTCTGTTGATTCGGAGGTGGTCTATGCCATTATCAAGGGCATGGCGTCGTTTGAGTAGCTGCCCGCTTCCAGCAGCACCCGTAGATGTGCTGTGGCTGAGGGAGGGCAGGCAGGCAGGATGCAAGGACAGACGAGGAGGTGGAACAGAAGGTTCTGACACTGCAGAAAACCTCACTTCCTCCCCAGGCACTGAAATTCTAAACATGCGCTCTTTTCCAGAGCTACTTCTAATGTTCATTTATTTTTGGGGGGGGGGGAGGGGCAGAGAGAAAGAGAGGGAGACCCAGAATCCAAAGCAGGCTCCAGGCTCTGAGCAGTCAGCACAGAGGCCGACGCGGGGCTCGAACTACAAACCGTGGGATCGTGACCTGAGCTGAAGTCGGACGCTTAACCGACTGAGCCACCCAGGCGCTCCCTCCCAGAGCTCCTTCTAATGGGAGTGCAGTAGAACCTTGGTTTGTGAGCATAGTTCATTCTGGAAACATGCCTGCAATCCAAAGCACTTGTGTCCCAAAGCGAATTTCAAGAACCACTGGCTCAGCTGTGATCATGTGACGTTCGGCGTCACGCTCTACTCACATTCCAAGATGTCGCTCATTTATCAAGTTAACATTTATTAGAAATGTGTGCTTGTCTTCCTCACAGTCCGAGGTTTTGCTGTATTTCCTTCGATGGGACTGTCAAGGCACTGAGAGGCCGGAAAGGCCGGCAGGCAGGATCAGAGTGGCTCCCCCCAGAGAAGGCAGGCACACCCCCCTCTGTGGGCGCCACTTCCTGTTCTTGTGCTGCAGCTCTTGAGGAACTGGGTCCCCTGAATGCGACGCACAACTTCAGCACGTGCATGGGGAGACGCGCTGTACTTTCCCCCCGCTTTTCTGATACCCTCCCTCATCCTCGGTCAGCAAGGGCGCTGCAGTCAGGCTGCGAACAAAAGGCAGGAGGCGCCAGGGCTCCTTCCTCTGTTCCCGTTTATGTGACACAACAGCCTGGGGGCTGGGCCTCTGGGTCTGTGTGTCTGTCTGGTGGATGGTGGTGCCGGTTCCTGGGGTCACTACCGCAGGGGTCCCCTGTCTGGGGAAGCAATGAGTGTTACGTTTAAGAGGAGGGCAGAGGCTTCCACTCCATCGGGACCTGCGGGTGGACCCACCGCGTGGGAGGCATTTCTGGAAAGCCTGCTTCTGGCCCCAGTGTTCCCACCCGCGTGCCGCGGCTTCCCTGTGTTCAAACTCCCTGCACTCGATCAGGCCAGAGTCTGCACTGTAGACGGCCTCGCCCTGCAGCCCACGTAAGAAAGACACTGGCCCTGCGAATTCGTGGGGCGAAGGCAGGACTCGAGAGAAGGCCCCCAATGTATGCCGGAGTCTCCCCAGTGTCACCTGCACACCAGACGTGGTCATTATTTTAGATTTTGTTTTAAAAGGCCCTTAGCTCTCCAGTTCCTAACAGTGACTGGACTAGGGTCCCAAAGGATTACGCAGCAGAGGTTCATTTCGATTTATGGTCCAGGGGACAGGTGAGAATTCCCTTTTGCTTCACTGCATTTCTTACAAAACTCAGCCTCAGAGTCTTCTTGTTTTCCAAACGGATGACGGTTTAGCGTAGCGAGGCACGTTTTGCCGTCTCTGTGACTTGTGGCCCGTTTCTACCGTTAGGGTATAACAATCGCAGACACAGTGAGCTGGTCTCTCTTTAGTTTTGCGAATCCTACTGGGTGCGGAGGACAGCGTCCTCTCCACGAAGGGCTGCGAGAAGCCTGGAGCCTCGCACTCGTGAACCGTTCTGTGCCCATACAGATGTTCTGTTTCTGTGGGCACAGCCACCAACGCGGCCTCTCCTCCTGCTGTCACTCAGCATGACATTATGTGAGTGTCGCGTGCCTTCTCTCCGGCAGTGGAGAATCAATTCGGTGACCTCCCCGCAGGTTATCTGGAGCCCTGGGAGAAGCGGCACCCTCAGCAGGCCCAGGGGGCGCTCGGCACCCCATGACGGCCACTGCAACCACGGCCTCGCTGCTGGTCTCAGCCCGGGGTCCCGGCAGCAAGCGGGAACGCCAGCGCGGGGGGAGACTGAGGCACGAGGACCCCCTACCCCACTCCTCGCCCCTCGGCTTACTTTGTCGGCAGCGGTGAGGCGGGTCCACGGCTTGTCGGCCCTGCGGTCATAGTCCTGAGCGTCAGCCACCTCCACGTAGTCACTGAAACGGATGAGGATCTTTCTTTCTCGAAGTTCTTCCACTGTGGGTCTTTGGCTGAGCTGCAGGGAGGGAGAGAGATGGACCCGGTCAGTCAGAGGAGTGTAGACTGCTGGGTCGGTGGGAAAACGAGGTCCTGAGAGGCAACCAACACATCCCTCAGCAAGTGAGGGGCAGGGCCCGGGGTGGGGACCTAGGGCTTCTGACTCCTGGACCTGGGACTTTTCCAGAACTCAAAGAGAGAGGGCTTTATTATCCCCTGAGCTACCTTCAGGCTCATCCGGATAGACAGGTAGGCTGACTCTTAATAACACTGCAGCGTCTCCCTGTAAGCGGCCTGTCTGCCCGCGTGGGTGCAGGCGTCCGCTGTGGATTTTCCCACACCCGTACCGTGCCTCCTACTCGGGGACGGGAACCTCACACCAGGCTTCGGTCTCATTTTGGGTTTGTAAGCCCATGCCCGTGTGTCAGATTGAGTGTGCTCTGCAGGATGGGGCTGGAAATCGTTTTAAATGTGTGTGTTTTAGACCCCCCCAAAGGGCGGATGTGCAAACAATATGCAAATTCAGGGGTCCGCAGCCATGATGTACGAGGCCAGAGGGGACCCTGCTCCTCACAGTCTGTCCGCAAATGCAGGGCGAGGCTGGGTTTAGGCCAGGAAGGCATGGGACAGGCCTTCAGGACGGGTCTGCGGCGAGGGGTGCAACAACTAGGACGAGAATGTGTATTTATTTAGCCGCCTCGCGGTCCCAGTCACGAGCACCCTCCCTTTGTACTTGGGCGGCACAAGGCTGACGTTTCTATCATCGCTTCCTGTCACTGGGTTTATTTCTCCTGGAGCAACACCGTCACCGTGTCTTCAGGATGCTGTGAACGCACGTTTAACCGACGTTATTTTAAAGCACTTTTTCCTCCAAGCCCTACGCTGTATATACTATCAACAGAAAGTGCAGTCAGATACAACCCCACCACAAAGGCCTGTACAACATACACAGACGCACAAGTGAATCCCAACCACCCTGGCTGTCCTGACTCGATTTCCCGCGGCTGCCACACACCTTTGGTGGTGCCAGCGTGCTCCAGCCCGCTGCCAGCTGGTGGACCGTGGAAGAGCACGCGGAAAAGGATTGAGATGATTGCCTGGCTGGGATCAAACAGAATGGAGCCGGGTACGGCCAGGCTGCAGGCAGGACCAAAGCAGCCTGCGGCTCCCTCTTGGCCAATGGTGGGAGGGGGGATGTGGGGGATCAGAGGCCTAGCGGGCTGTGGCCCACTTGCCTGGGCCACACGCAGCCCCCTGTCAGAGTGGTTCCCATCTGTGCTGAGGCAGCCCTGGCGTTCCTGGGACAGGACCTTCTGGTGTCAGTGCTGGCCTGTTGCAGGAAACCCACAGCTGTCCCAGGCTTCGTGGGGTACCGTGAACAGTCCATCTGGACTCAAACACATGCCCTCTGCAATGTGAGTTCAGGCAGCTTTTGCACACTCGTTAAAATACATGCAAACATTTCCTGTTTCCCCAGCTACACAAGGACTCCTGCTCAACATCTCTTGTG